CCATCATTCTTAGCAAACTATCACAAGAACAGAAAACCAAACACCGCGTGTTCTCACTCGTAGGTGGGAACTGAACAATGAGATCACTTGGACTCGGGAAGGGGAACATCACACACCGGGGCCTATCATGGGGAGGGGGGAGGGGGGAGGGATTGCACTGGGAGTTATACCTGATGTAAATGACGAGTTGATGGGTGCTGACGAGTTGATGGCTGCAGCACACCGTCATGGCACAAGTATACATATGTAACAAACCTGCACGTTATGCACATGTACCCTAGAACTCAAAGTATAATAAAAAAAAAAAAAAAAAAAAAAAAAAAGACTTATTTTGTTAGTGAAGTGTGATAGTGTTTAAAATTCTTGAGAAAGGGTTTTACAATCAAAAAAATTAACCCGGAGGTTGTAAGCAGTATGAAACAGACAGTGGAAAGACTAAGTCGGGAAAACCAGTCAGGAGTCTAACAACAGTCCAAGGATAGTTATGTATGTCTAATCTCTGACAGTGGGAAAGGAGAGACATAGACTGAGTTTTAGAAGTACAAGTGACAGTACACAAAAGTAAGGAAACTGAGGCTGAATTAGGGAAACGGAAGTGGAAGGGGAGAAGAGTTAGCCCAAAGGCAGACAGCTGGTTACGTGGTAGAGTTGGGAGGTGTGCATAAGTCAAATGCAGCTCTGATTACCTTACTGTCTGCACATGGCACCCATTTTATGCCAAGAATAAGGCAGTGTTTTCATATACAGTTTCTTGTTTATTTCTCAGGTTGAAATTTTTTATATTGTTATATTTGAGACTTTGTAATTCATAAAGGAAAGAGGTTTATTTTGTCTCATGGTTCAGCAGACCATACATACAGGAAGCAGGATGCTGGCATCTGCTTTTGGTGAGGGCCTTAAGAAGCTTACAATCATGGCAGAAGGAGAAGGTGTCCAGGAATGTCACATGGCAAGAAAAGGAGCACGGGAGAGCGAGGAGGAGGAGTGAAGCTCCTTTAAACAACCAGCTCTCATGTAAGTGAGAACTCACTTGTTACCAAGGGGAGGGCACCAAGCCATTCACGAAGAATCCTCCCTCGTGTCCCAAACACCTCTACCAGGCCCTACCTCTGACACTGGGAATCACATTCCAACATGAGATCTCGAGGGACAAATATCCAAAACGTATCACATTCCAAGCATAAAGAGGACAGAAAGAATATGACAAGAGAAGAACACAAATAGGAAAATCAGATAAAATGATATCCATTTAAATTACTGACACAATTAGATATACAAGATTGCCATTTCTAAAAGTAATGTTGAGGTCTGAATATCTGAGATTTACTATACTTGTTCTAGTCCATTTCTTATTGATTCGATCCATTTGATCACTTTATTAGTAAATACAAAATACTGGGCCATAAAAATTTACCTTGTTCAACTGGAAAAAAAATACAGTAGGGAAAGAATGACAATTTTTTAATAGTTTTTTTTAAAAAGGAGATCAAATAGGTCCCTATCAATTTGGATAGCATTTTAAAATATTATGATTTCTTATTTTAAATTCAAGAGCTTCCTAAGTATTTGATATATCTATCAACAGGTTGAAGTAGATAAGAAGTTTTCAGCCATTATTTTATAATCCAAGTCCTTAAATTTGAACCAAGGAAGAGCCAGTGTTCTGAAGGAGGCATGTACTAATAAGATTAAAGAACAGTGAAGGCATGAAGACTCTTAAATTCAATGGCTCTTCAAATACTTCAAAAGCTGCTGTGTTTGCTCAGCCACTTGATAAAGTGTCTGTTCAAAGTATAAGGATTTTGATGTAAGAAGTACTATCATTTATATCATTCTGCACTAAACTCACTTCACTCCCACTGATGAAGCTAAGGAAATTTATTATAAGGTACAACCCTTGAGGTTTCAAATTGAGTGACAAAAAGAAGAGTTCTCCAGTGACTAGATGACTATAACGATAGCAGAGCGGGTAAGTTACCATATATCTTCAAATCTAAGGCATCATCTATTTCAAGATGAATTATTTTCTATATCTGTAATGAAGAGAAAAAATATCACTACCACATCAATACTGTAAGATACTTTCCAACTGAAGACAGGCTAAAATGTGAAAAAATGCAGGTTTTTGGAATATGAATTTAGTATAAGTTATTTTATATCTAATTCTTTAATCAATCCATTCATATTACCATGATTAAAATAATGCCCAGGAGCTAAGTGACCCCAGGAAAGAGAATTTATACTGAAAGCAGAAAATATTAGGTTCAAAATTCTAAGGAATGTTTTAATTAGTGTAAATGTGAACAAATGTCTGGTAGGGTAAGAAGAGCTGCTGAAAAGCAAGGAGAGTTGTATGATTTTAGTAGTCTGAAGAGATCTATATAGCACAGGGCTTGCCACAATGTTCTAACACGATCCTTCCCTTTTTATGTTACATGGATTGAATTTTATTTATTGCTGGTTATAATCCACAAAATCTAAGGTTATAGGTATCTAGCATCTCAAATAGATCTGTCCATTTATTTTATAAACACAGCTAAATTATGCCTACTTTATTGTCCTGAATCACAGAAAAGGCTATAAACTACAACTTTCAGTTTCTCTCTCTGGTCTCTTTCCAAACGCAGGAGTGGCAAAGACTTGTGATAAATTGCTATATATATATATATAATGAATGTGCCGGTCTGTTAGTGTGTGGTGGAGGGGTGTTGTAAGGGTGTGTGTGTGTGTGTGCGCGCGCGTGTGTATTTGTGTATCTTATTTAGGTAATTCTATCTTTACTTCTGTGATCTAAAATACACATTAAACAGTTATCATGAAAAATGATAGTTCTGCCAGGTAACCATTTGTAGAACACTGAAACTGGACTCTTCCCTTACACCATACACAAAAACTAATTCAAGATGGAATAAAGACTTAAATAGAAAGCCAAAACTATAAAAACCCTGAAAGACAACCTAGGCAATACCAGTCAGGACATAGGCAAGGGGAAAGATTTCATGATGAAGACATCAAAAGCAAAAATTGACAAATGGGATCTAATTGAACTAGGGAGCTTCTGCACAGAAAAAGAAACTATCAACAGGGTAAACACACAACCTACAGAATGAGGGAAAATTTTTGCAAACTATGCATCTGACAAAGTTCTAATATTCAGCATCTATAAGGAACTTAAATTTACAAGGAAAACAACAAACACATCCATTGAAAAGTAGGCAAAGGACATGAAGAGACATTTTTCAAAACAAGATACACACGCAGCCAACAATCATATGAAATAAAGCTCAACATCACTGATCGCTAGAGGAATGCAAATCAAAACTACAAAAAGATACCATCTCACACCAGGCAGAAAGGTTATTATTAAAAAGCCAAAAAATAACAGATGCAGGCAAGACTATGGAGAAGAAGGAACACTTACACTCCATTGGTAGGAATGTATATTAGTTTGAACATTGTGGAAGACAGTGTGGCAATTCCTCAAAGACCTAAAGACAGAAATACGATTTAACCTAGCAATCTTATTACTGGGTACATATTCAAAAGAAAATAATTCATTCTATTATAAAGACACATGCAGGTGCATGTTCACTGCAGCACTATTCACAATGGAAAAATCAGGTAATAAACCTAAATGTCCACCAATGACAGACTAGATAAAGAAAATGTGGTACACATACACCATGGAATACTATGCAGCCATTAAAAAGAATGAGATCATGTTCTTTGCAGGGACATGAAAGGAGTTGGAGGCCATTACCCTTAGCAAACTAACACAGAAACAGAAAACCAAATACTGCACATACTCACTTAAGCAGAGCTAAATGATGAGAACACAAGGACACACAAAGAGGAACAACACACACTGGGGCCTTCCAGAGGGTGGAGAGTGGGAGGAGGGAGAGGATCAGGAAAAATAATGAATAGGTACTAGGCTTAATACTTGGGTGATGAAATAATCTGTATAATAAACCCCAATGATGCAAGCTTACCTATGGAACAAACCTGCACTTGTACCCATGAACTTAAAACATAAATTTTAAAAAATGAGAGTTCTGATATTTTAATTACTTTTCAAAACTATTTATGGCCATGTGACCTTTATGATTATATTTCTTTCAATGGAAAATATCCAGTTAGTTTTTTTAATCTCCCTGACTTTAGTTTTAAAAAATCCCCCAATATTATAATATTTATAAAATTAAATTTATAAGAAAGTAATGTGGAATTAAACAGAGAACTTACTAATGAATGTAATCAAAGCAAATTTTAAAATAAAACAAAAGCCAAACACAACTTTTTTCTTTATATATATATGTGTGTGTATATATGTATATATATGTTATTAGTTTACCTTAAAATTTTAATGACCTTGAAAAAAGCAAGATCTTCATGCATAAGCTTCATGCATTCAAATTTGTGAACACTGTCTTCATTAAAAGTTTAAATAACAACCGTACATTTTAATTAAGTGCAATACAGAAACATATTTCTATTATATTCTAGGATGTGCCCATTTTACCAACAAAAGGTTTCTGATTTTAGACTACAAAATAAACTCCAGTCCCTGCAAGTATGCTTCTTCGGCCATACATTTTTAGAAACTGTACAATGCAAAATAGCAATAAAACAAGCTCAAAGGATGAGGGGCTCAAATGTCATTATCTACCAGGTTAATTAATGGATTACTATGCTTTTTGAAATGCATTTTCATGCAAATTATTAGTTTATTTTTAAGCATGCTTAATGACACACATCAGTAAATAGCAAATCAAATGGTAATACAAAATATTGAGTACTACATATTTCTCTATGCAAATAGGACAATTATTCTAAATACTTTACAGAATACTTCTGACTAACCTACTTAGAAACGTTTCTGTATCCTAGAAGATTATGCAACTTAAACTAAAAAATGTCACTGTTCCTCAATAATTTGAGAAGGAAGAAAAATAGAAAAATAGTACTCACACTTCTGCACTAACCTCTCCCTAAAACTGTTGCTCTCTGTGCTATTAGGATTATCCAAAGAACTTGCAAATTCAATTATCTGATGAAGCGATGGCAATTATTTAGAACTGAAAAAGAAAAAAATAACAGATTTTTATTCACCTTTTAACCACATCTATTATTATCAAAATGAGTTCACACCCTGCAGACTCAACACTTTAAAAAAAAAAAAATTGTGCTTTTAAACTCAAAAAAATTTTGATTCAAGCTATAAACACCTTTCCCCAAACAAACTTACTCTGTGAATAGCCTTTAATGTAGTCAAGTGCAATATATCTAAATAAAAATATAATTGGAAATGGGGACGTCTCTGAAAAATAAAGACAATCATAAGCAGTAAGAAAGCATTATCCGAGCCATTTCAGGCAGAAAGGCAGGGATAGGAGATAGCATTCTAAAACACTAAAATATGGTGAGTGCCTCCATGAGCTTTAGGGTCTAACAACTGCATTCTCATTCCAGTCCTACCAATTACTAACTGTGTGTCTCTGAGCAAGTTACTTACTTCCTGGAGGCTCAGTCTCTCATTTATAAATGGAGGTAACACATCAGAGGATGGGTGTAGACATTAACCGAAGCAATCTATTATTGAGTGCTTAACACTATCTAGCACTGGGAAAAGTGCTCAAATTATTAGGTGCTGTGGCTATTATTACTATAGACCCTGGCTCACTTAAACTGCTGTCTCAAGAGATGAAAAATATAAAAGTGGTTCTATTAATTCTTTATTTTACTTTTTATACTTGACTTGGCCTCTTCTTCCTTTATGATCTTTATTTCTATTCCTCTTTCTCTGTGTCTTTGTTCTCACTAGAATTTGCTATTTAAAATTTTTTACATTAAAGTTTAAACATACAGTACATAGAACTCTTTGACGACTAGAGTCTGTTTTTAAATTTTCTTTTCTTTTTCTTTTTCTTTTTATTTTTTAAAAAGAAGGTACTTCTCAAGTTTATGAGAAACACTGAGAAAGCTCTTGGTGACAATCCTATCTGAAAATTAAATACCTCCACCCACTCTCCTGAACCTGCCTTGATTTTTCACCATAACATTATCAGCTTTTAACATATTATAAATTTAATCATTATATTTTTGCTTCTTGGCCTTTTGGCTAAGATCAAGTGTAGTATCTGTTCTTATCAGTTTAATTTTTGTTTCTCATTATTAAAATACAATCTATATAAGAAATTTCTTTTTTTTTTCTCTGCCATATAGGACCTAGATTAGAACCTGGCATTTGGTGAGTGTATCTTTTCATTATTTTCCTATTGCAGTTTCCTCCTTGGTTTTTAATTTTTAATCTATGCATGTTTTTGCTAAACTTTAAGAAATAATTTCATACCACTTTGGTTATCAAAGACCAAACTTGATTTTTTTCCCTTTGTTTCATAGAGCTAACATGTAAGATCTGTATAAATATAACTTCTATCACAATTCCATTTCATTACCTATAAAGTTTAACTTAGACATTTTAAAAGATTTCATATTCTTTATGAATTTATAATAGAATATTTGTAATACAAAAAATCCTTCATTTTGGATAATTAATAATAAATGCATGTCAGTTTGAAGCAATTAATTCTCAAGTTAACTACTCTGATTGGTATGAGCCTTGAAGATAAACATTTTATATAATTCTTAGTTGACATGGAAGCATGATTCCAGGTTTATTCAAGTCAGCACAAACTCAAAGACTTTCCATATCTACTTTACTGGTTAGCTTTCTCTATAAAAACAACTGAACTTAAGCACAGAACATCAAAGGGGTTTGTCAAAATAATATATCCAATACTTTAGCAGGGCCAGAATATGCTCTTAGGAATAACAGTTCCTACCACTCTACTACCATCTTCCAGATAAAGCTTGCAAATTGGGAAATCTGATTATTTTAGCTGTGGTGGAAGAAACATCATTTTTCTGTATTTGAAGTCTCAACTTATTTGGAGTAATGTATAGTTAATGTATAGTCCTCTTTTAATACTAGATAGAAAATCCCAGTACAGGTCTCACTCAGTGATTTAGAAAGTCGAAGAACAGGGGCTAAACTAGTGTACCATGAAAAAATGTAAAGCAAAGCTTGCAGGTGTGCATATCTGCACCATCACTTCAGTCTTTCTGAGCACTTCTGGGCACATAGCCCATAACTACATCAGATTAATTATTGTCAGGAGAAAGACTCAAAGTAAACATTTCCCCACATATATTTAAAAAATCGGGTACAGTTTATACTGTTTGGGTAATGGGTGCACCGAAATCTCAATCACCACTAAAGAACTTATTCATGTAACCAGACACCACCTGTTCCCCAAAAACCTGTTGAAATAAAAAATAAGCAAAGGGAGTTTTAAACACATATCCATGGGGATACTTTAGTCAAAGGTACAAACTTTCAGTTACAAGACGAATAAGTTCTGAAGTTGTAATGTACAATACGGGGACTACGGTTAGGAACAATGTGCTATACACTTGAAATTTGCTGACAGTTGACCGTAAGCATTCTAAGACACATGCACAAGAAAATGTTCACTATGTGAGGTGAGGAATATGTTAATTAACTTGATTGTAGTAACCATTTCACAAGGTATATGTATATCAAAATGTCACACTGTACTTTAAATATATATAATTTTTATTTCTCAGTTATGCTTTAATAACAAAAATAAACAATGGGAAAAGGACTCCCTATTTAATAAATGATGCTGGGTAACTGACTAGTCATATGCAGAACAATGATAATAGACTTCTACCTTTCACCATATACAAAAATTAACTTAAGATGGATTAAAGATTTAAATGTAAGAACTCAAACTATAAAAACCCTAGAAGAAAACCTAGGAAATACCCTTCTTGACATCAGTCATTGCAAACAATTTATGGTTAACTCATCACAAACAACTGAAACAAAAACAAAAAGTGACAAGTGGGACTTAAACTAAAGAGCTTCTGCACAGCAAAAGAACCTATCAACAGAGTAAACAGACAACATACAGAATGGAAGAAAATATTTGCAAGCTATGAATCTGACAGATGTTTAATATCCAGAGTCTTATGGAATTCATAAGGAACTTAAACACTCAACAATAAAAAACCAAATAACCCCATTAAAAAATGGGCAAAAGACATGACCAGACACTTCTTACAAGAAGACATACAAGCGTTCACCAAAAACATGAAAAAAAGAAAAATGCTCAACATCACTAATCTGTTAGAGAAATGCAAGTCAAAACCACAATGAGATGCCATTTTACACCAGATACAATGGCTATTATTAAAATGTCAAAAACAACAGATGCTGACAAGGCTGCAGATAAATGGGAACACTTATATACTGTTGGTGGGAAGTAAATTAGTTCAGCCCCTGTGTAAAGTAGCTTGTAAATGTCTCAGATAACTTAAAACAGAACTACCATTCAACCCAGAAATCTCACTACACACTATATACCCAAAGGAAAATAAATTGTCCCACAAGAAAAAAAAAAAAAAAAAGACATATGTACTTGTATGTTTATCACAATACAATTTACAATAGGAAAGGCAGGGAATCAATCTAGGCACCCATGAATGGCAGATTGGATAAAGAAAATGTGGTATATATACACTATGGAATGCTACACAGCCATTGAAAAGATGAAATCATATCCTTTGCAGCAACATGGATGTAGCTAGAGGCCATTATCCTCAGTGAATTAACACAGGAACAGAAAACCAAATACTGTATGTTCTCACTTATATGTGGGAGCTAAACATTGGGTACATATGGACATAGAGATGAAAACAATAGATACTGGGGATTACTAGAGCCGGGAGAGTGGGACACAGGCAGTGTCTGAAAACCTACCTATGCTCACTACCTGGCTGATAGGATCGTTTACAACCCAACACTTCGCAACACGCAAACAAAAACAAAAAACAAACAAAGAACCTCATGTAACGAAACTGTACATGTATGCTATAAATCTAAATAAAAGTAGAACTTAAAAATATATATATACATATAGTTGGAAAAAATTTTTCCACTTACATTCATCTGTGCTTTTGATGTCAGAAACCAGGATAGTATTACACTGCAGAAAAACATTTAGTCAAAGGCATCATTAACCTCTACAAATATAAATCGAGAAAAAAACTAAAATTAGTGAGACACACTTCATGTACCTCAATGGCATTTCTAGAGGGCAACAAAAAGATGAATTATCTGGTGACCAAATGTCAAACTGTACTGAATTTACAGAAACTAGATTTAAATCACATTTATTCAATTACTAGAAATACGATCTTGTGAAAATTATAAATCTTTCTGATCCTCAAATGTAGACTGAGGACAGACAAAAAATGCTTGCCTAACCAGTATCACTGGAGATGATGTGAGGACAGGTGGGTTAATGTAAATCAAAGTATTCACATATTGTAAATTGCCATGCAAATTTAACTTTTGGTACTCATTTTGATCTCTTAAAATAAGCTTATAGATATCTTAATCCAAGTAATTTTGTTTAATTTGAATGGGCTAAGCTAGGTTATACTAGAGTTTTTCAGTTTCAAAAATTTATAATTCCATGCTGCCCAGTTTTGCCTAAGAGTTATTAAACATCATAAAACTGCCCACTGCTTTGTGAAGGGGGCATAGGTCAAGGTGGGGAGAATCATTAGGGAATATCTTCATAGAGCTAATAAATGAAGGGTGGGTGAATTTTTCAGGGAAAAGCGCAAGGAAAATGAATACATGGATTTAGATCTAAAAAAAAAAAAACAAGATAACACAAAGAATGGGTGGAAAGAAAAAGAAATCAAGACAGTGCTGCAGGATACAGAGAAAGGGAAATAAGAAAGAAAGGTGGGCAAATAGTACAAGAGTGAGGAAGGGATTTAATAGGGAACAGAAGAGTTTCAATTCCAGTAGTGTGAAAGGACTGAAAGGAATCACCATGTCGTGGTGAAATGGGAACTAGGACATGCGAAAACACAAAAATCAAAAACAAAACAAAAAGTAGGACAAGAGAGTGAAGACAACAGACAGGATTAGTACCTACTTGTCTTTCATTTTTATAAAAATTCCCTTTTATTGTAAAATTTCTAATGCATTTTTAGAAGATGATGACAGTAAGGATGTCCATTACCCTTACTACTTGCTAAGCTCAAACGCAGGCGACACTGTTGTTAAGCCTTGCATGCACATTAACTAATTTAATTCTGACAACAATTCTATGAGTAGGTGTTCTAGAGATGAATAACCAAGAAACAGGTTATTTTCAAAACAAAACTAAGTGGTAGACATGGAACTTGAACCTCAGCTGGTCATATTCTAGAGCACAAGCTCCTAACCACTATCCTTGCAATAAGAGCAAATTTCTTTATGTTTACAAATATAAGAACAAGAAATACCTATTACCTCTGGAGACCTTTGTTACATGAGTCAATGGGAAATAAAAATGTTAGAATAAGGGAACAAACTGAAGAAAATAATGTTTCAGAATTACAAAACAATGCTACTACCAGAGAAGATTATTTTTCCTTTGTTTTCTTTAGCTGGAAAAAAGGAAAGATGTTAGTAGGGAAGCCTACGAAGTGAAAATTGGCTCTCTCCCTAAATAGTAAAGAACACATGAGAAAAAAAAACACAGTAATGTTTATAATTTTACACACAAGTATAATTTTTCATTTTAATTAATGTTCTTGAAATAAAATGATCATTGTGTGACAATAAAAGGTATTGAGTGTAATCACTTCATTAAGTTATATGTTAATTAAATAATTTTATTTGATATTATCTAAACACCTTCCTTATTCAACAGCTGATACCACATAACTACAAAAAATAACCATAATTAGTCTTGCAAATTAATTCTTATTTATAGGAATTAATTATGCGTTTTCCCATCATTAGGCCAAGAGAAGCTACATTAATAGAAGTAGAGATGGTTCTTACACATGATTACAACTGAATCCACTGCTTCCAAGAACACACTGTTTATGGCTCTAATATTTCCAATTTTCTCTGAGAAACAGAAACTTATTTTGGTCGTAGCTTTCAAAAATGCTTAGAAGCCCTTAAGTAATTTTAGCGAGCCAGTAATTATATCATGCCTTAATTTTAAGAAATCGTCTGGGATACTCAGGTAATACTTTTATATAAATAAAACACTGACCACTCAGTTTGATCCTGTGAGATTCTGATTAAGAAGAGCTTAACGGAAAATGTCAGAAACACGGATAATATCTCACTTAGGCAGGCAGGAGATACTCATTGAAAAAGGTAATTTCTACTGAACAGAAGGAGAAGTAATATAACATCCATGTTAGAAATTTAGTTTAGACATAGAATGCTCTATTTAAAAAACACTGGTATCAGGTATAAAGATGACTAATTTATTTTTTAAATAGGAAAAAAACATATATTTTGGATAAATTAAGTAAAGCCTAACTTTAAAAGGAAAGGCTCAGTGTGAAATCTTTCAGGCCAATGATACTACTGCACCAGCATAACTTGTTTTATGGCACTTTACAAATACACATTTTTACAAATTGAAGATTTGTGGCAACCCTGTATCCAGCAAGTGTGTTGGCGCCATTTTCCAATAGCATGTGTTCACTTTGTGTCTCTGTGTCACATTTTGGTAGTTCTTTCATTATTTCAAACTGTTTCATTATTAATACATATTAATACATGATTGTTTGTTCATAATTATATTATTTTTACATCATCATTATGTCTATGATGATGATCTGTGACCAGTGACCTTTGTTGTTACTATTGTAATTGTTTGGGGCACCACAAATCATGCACATATACAACCACAAAGTTAACAAATACTTAATAAATGTGTGTGTTGACTCCTCCAACCTACCAGCAGTTCCCTTGCCTCTTCCCCTTTTCTTGGGCCTCCCTATTGTCTAAGACCCTATTGAATTTAGCCCAATTAATAAACCTACAATAGCCTTTAGGAGTTCAAGTGAAAAGAAGAGTGGCATGTCTCTCACTTTAAATCGAAAACTAGAAATGATTAAGCTTAGTGAGGAAGGCAAGTTCACAGTTGAGACAGGACAAAAGCGAGGTCCCTTATGCCAAAGAGTTAGCCAAGTTGTGAATGCAAAGGAAAAGTTCTTCAAAGAAATACGAAGTGAACACATAAGTGATAAGAAAGTGAACACCAGCCTACTGTTGATTTGAAGAAGTTTATGGTGGTCTGGATCTAAGATCAAACTAGCCACAACATTCCCTTAAGTTAAAGCCTAATCCAGCAAGGCCCTAGCTCTCTTCAATTCTGTGAAGGCTGGAAGAGGTGAGGAAGCTGCAGAAGAAATGTTTAAAGCCAGGAGAGACTGGTTCTTAAGGTTTAAGGAATAAAGACATCTTCATAACATAAAAGTTTAAGGTGAAGTAGCAAGCACTGATCTAGAAGCTGTAGCAAGTCCTCCAGAAGATCTAGCTCGGATATTGATAAAGGTGGCTACACTAAACAATAGATTTTCAATGTAGATGAAGCAGGCTTCCATTGAAAGATGCCATCTGGGACTTTCGTAACTACTGGGAAGACAATGCCTGGTTTCAAAGCTCCAAAAAACAGGATGACTCTCTTGTTATGGGCTAATGCAGCTGGTGACTTTGAGTTGAAGCCAATGTTCGTTTACCGTTTCCAAAAACCTATGGCCTTATGAATTATACTAAAGTCTACTCTGCTTGTGCTCTATAAATGTAACTACAAAGCCTGGATGACAGCACGTCTGTTTATAGCATGGTTTACTGAGCCCGTAAGCCCAAGCTTGAGACCTATTGCCCAGAAAAAAAATTCCTTTCAAATATTACCTCATTGATGAAAGCATCTGGTCACCCAAGAGCTCTGACTGACATGTACAAGGAAATTAACATTGTTTTCAAGCCAACTAATACAACATGAACTCTGCACCCCATGGATCCAGAAGTAATTTCAACTTTCAACTCTTATTATTTAAGAAATGTATTCTGTAAGACTATAGCTGTCATAAGCAGTGATTCCTCTAATGAATCTCGGCAAAGTAAACTGAAAATCTTCTGGAAAGGATTCACCATTCTAGATGCCATTATGAACATTTGTGATTCATGGGAGGAGGTTAAAATATCAACACAATAGGAGTTTGGAAGAAGTTAATTCCAATTCTCATAGATGACTTTGAGGAATTCAAGACCTCAGTGGGAGAACTAACTGCAGATGCAGTGGAAATAGCAAGATCACTAGAATTAGAAGTGAAACCTAAAGATGTGACTGAATTGCTGCAGTCTCATGATAAAACTTTAATGGATGAGGAATTGTTTCTTACAGACGAACAAAGAATATGGTTTCTTGAGATGGAATCTATTACTGGTGAAGGTGCTAGAGATGGCAACAAATTATTTAGAATATAATATAAATGTAGGTAATCTTTATCAACTAAGTGGTGGGTTTGAGAGGATTCACTCTAATTTTGAAAGAGTCCTACTGTGGGTAAAATGTTACCAAACAGCATCACATGTTACAGAGAAATCTTTCATAAAAGGAAGAGGCAATTCATGTGACAAACTTCATTATCGTCTTAGCCACTACAACCTTTAGAAACCCCACGCTGATCAGTCAGGAGCCATTAACACCAAGGTAAGAGCCTCCACTAGCAAAAAGATTATGACTTACAGAAGACTTGGATGATCGTTAGCATCCTTTAGCAATACAGTATTTGTAAATTACGGCATGTACACTTTTTTAGACATAATAGTATCGCACACTTATTAGACTACAGTATAGTATAAACACAACTTTTATATGTATTGTGAACCAAAAAATTTGTGTGACTTGCTTTACTGCAATATTTGTTTTACTGCAGTGGTCTAGAGCCAAACCTGCACTATCTCCAAGGTATGCCTGTAGACTGCCTTCTTCCATATTTGCAGTCTAGGAAAAGAAATGGTTAGCTAATGTGGTAATGACTGTAAAGTGCTTTCAGAGTGCTTAACATGTAAGTTTATAAGAGATGGTAGATCTTATTACGAACATCTGCTCAGCAAGCACATCATAGTATAATATATTAATTGTGAATTCCATAAAATTATGATGTATTTTATTGATAATACCTTATCAATTTTTATATGATTTAATTAAATTACTGTTTTAAGCGAGAAGCAAATCATTTTAGTACTATCTGTGTTTTAATGACATAATTTTAAACCTTCAGGAGTTATTTCACCACTAGGTAGCTACATACTCCATTTATCCATCCATCCTTCCACCTGTCAGTCCGTCTATCAGTTCATCAACCCTCTATACATCCTCCTATCAGAGATTTAGCTCTCTGTTTACAGGTGCCTAGTGTATTCTAAGTAAACATATCATTGTTGATATATGGGTAATTCTCTGTCTTATCATTCATCTTGAAGTCTACAAACACATAATAATAACTCCTTTTTTAAAACTGGTGAAAATGATCACCTTGGGCACAAATGTTCCCCCCACCAACCCCAATGAAGGATACTATTACTAGGTGATTATGCACTATCTTTAAAGGTTATAATAATATTTCTGATGTATTTTTCCTCCAGAAGGGCAAGAAATAGAAGACAGAATTTTGACCGGGCTATTGTTAGATGACTTTCTGAAGTGAAGAGACCATCATTGCACAACTGAGCTATGAAACAAAAAACAGACATGCTGTTAAATATTTGACAGCACTGTGATGGTTATTCAAAACAACAGGACCCTGAACCCCCTTCAAGAAAAAAATTCCAAAACTAAATACATTTGTGTGCAGTAAGGGCTTACTCATTATTCATTACTGCCTATAATCTTATGAATATATATTAAGGCAATCTAAAAGTGTTATAGCGTTGCAATATTTTAATCATGCAAAATATTTTCCTTACTTGGTGATTCATCCCTAACTCCTGGGTAGAGAAATGAAGCTAAATCATAGGCTTTTTATGACCAAGGGAGGGGAGGGTACTGGTCTGTCATTATCATTAAATCATAGGGATTGTTAGACAGTGTTTAGCAATGAAAAAAATGATCAAAAGGACCTCTATGTTTAAAAGTATTAGTCATTTCAAAACTAAAGAAAGTGAACCTAAGCAATGAGCATACGTTCATTATGAAGCTATTCTTAAATAGGAGGACCTATATTAAATATAAAATTGTTAGTAGGATCATCTGTCTCAGCTCTCATAAAGCTCATTATCAGTAAATTGCAGCATAACAAAAAGGAAAAAGAAACATGCTTGTATCTGGTGAAGGTCACTGTGTCAAACTTCTGGAGAAAACCTTGAATTTGATTTTTACCAAAGTATCTACAACCTGGAAAACTAAAAAGTTGAGATGCTCTATTTAGTCAGACCAGAAATTAACCTTTACATATATAATCTGGATAGAATGTGGTAGTTAGCTAATCCTAAATTAAGTCCTTTGTTTTTATTTGTTGCATAAAGCATAGATTCTCATAAACACAGTGTTACATCACCACACTTCAAAGCCTTCTGTAAACCAAGCAACTCACAGCAACATCTCTGCCTTCAGCAATCACACTCCAGTAAATCATCCAAGTGACCTTATTTGCTTATTAGAAACTCTGTGTACAGGTTGCAAATGTCAGAGTATGAATTTACATTTTAAAAAGTGCATCTTGCAGTGGCTTAATGAAAATATTTCAACAATCTCAGGTCAAATTCAACTATTTATACCTCTGCTCCCTTGGGTTTAAAGATTTTGTCCTAGATTCACATATTCTTCACAAGCCATACTTCATGACCACTCCTCCTAGCATGTCAACATTGTAACAGTTTGAAATGCCATTTGGAAAGGGGGCTGTTACTACATTACCATTGCTACTCCCACCTCAACAGTATGCCCATAAATAACTTACACATTTGATTCTTGTGTTGTTTATGGTCTCAGAATGATATTTATCTGATATACCAACACAAATACCTTATACATAAGCTGGGAGGTTTTAAATTTATATTGTATATCATGTATTAACTTAAACTCTGAAAATAGAACCGTGACACCTTCATATTCTACTCTAGAATACAGAAAAAAAATCACAATAATTGACCTTCATATGTATGTTTTGCTTTAAAATTATTTTTCTTCTTGTGGAAGATGGCAAAAAAAGATCATTAAGAAGAATTTCTGGGGACGAATTTGTCAGGGGTGATGGCAGGGCAGTGAGAAAAGTGAGTTGATTAGAAAGAAAACTGCCTGGGCCATAAGTCTGTATGTAATTTTCTCCTTCTACCTATATTCCCAGAAGTATTTTTGAAATTATTTTGAACATTAGAGAAATAAATCATCAATAATACCACCATTGCTCCCACCCCCAACCACATGTACATACTCTGGGAACAGAAAGAGGCACCAGCGTGTAACAGAAAGAACACGGGCTGTGGAATACACTGCTTAACCTTTACCTGCCATGGGCTGGAGGAAAGTCTTCAGTTAATTAAAGGCCTCAGTCTCTACAACCTGCCTTATAGTGTGGTCCGAAATACAGTCAGAGGTTGTTTTATGCACTTTACTTTATTGTGCCTTTCAGATATTGTGTTTTTTTTCAAATTGAGAGTTTGTGGAAACCCTCGTTGAGCAACTCTGTCGGTGCTGTTTTTCCAACAGCATATGCTCACTTCATGTCTCTGCATCACATTTTGGCAATTATCGCAATGTTTCAAACTTTTTCATTATTACTATACTATATTGAAATGAATACTTTATAAAAATGATTAGCAAATAGAAGGCCCGCAAAAGAGGGGTCCTAATACTCACATTCTCCCCACATCATTTAAAATGTGGTATAATCATTTGTATTATTCAAATGGATTAGAAAGAGCCCTCTGGCCTTGGGAACATAGTTTTCTTTCTGATTTAATGACAACCTGATAATGTTCTAGGTGATGAAATGCCACTAAAGAAATATAATAATGATTCTGATGATATAAAAGGCACTATGTTCCTTTCTTTACAGCTAAACAATGTGAAAACTTAAGTGAATATAACACATCAGGGAAATGTATTTTATCTTTCTAAGCATGAAATATGAAGCCTGCCTATTTATTAAGTACATTTAGGTCTCAGCATTACCCACATTTCTATCGATTGTATTAAAGAATATTGGTCATTATTACACTAAAGATTAGCAGCTAAAAAGACAAATGTGAGAGTACATAGGTAAAAGGTTCTTGCTGTTGTTTTGTTTTTTGATTTTTTCCTAGAATATGGCTGTAGATTCTATTGCAGAAACAATAAGATGTCCTTTGGCAGTCACCATAAAGGCCACATTCAAAGCCTTATTTATACAAATCCGTCTTGCCTCTCAGTTTTCCAAATGTCTCCTCTTATTTGGAAGAGATAGTTAAAAGCATCATTAAAGTGTTTCTTCCACCTTGCCTGGCATCACCTCCAAAACAGCTCCCCTTCCAACAGTTTTTGGGATGGCAGTCACCACCTATTCTCCACAGATCTGAGTGGAAGTTGATGTCTTGCTAGTTGACATACAAGATCTACAGATTCAAAAAAATGGAACTGCTCAAAAATTCAGACATGTTACCTACAGCAGGACTATATTTCCTAATAACAGAGGAAGTTTAAGTGGCTTCTTTAGAAAAGTTAAATTTGTTCTGGCACCACATCCTGCTTCCCAGGGAATTAAAAATTTGATGAATTTTGTTACTTGATTAACACATGCAATCTTGTCACTGTAGACTCTTCACAGTAAAAATCTGTATTCAATTTACTTGCTCTGTAATTAGAAATACCAATGGCATAGAATATTTTGCTAAAGACAGAAAATATACCATTGAAATCCTGATTTTTAATACTTTGTATATCTGAATTCATTCTATAACAGTGAGCTACACTGTAGGTTAAAAGTAGAAGAATAAAGTCAGAAAGATAAAGGGCCAAAAACAAATGAGACAAGAAAAATGCAAGAGAGAAGAAAAAGGGACCTTAAAGCTAAGCTTGGAACAACAAAAAGTTAAAAGGAGAGATCCATTTGCTGGCTATGGGAGATGCTACAATCCTAACAGATTAATGACAGAAGTGTCCTGTAATATTCTTTTATCTTTTCTAATATGTTAGAGGGTCAAAGTTAACATTGTACTTTTTCATGTTTAATGTTAAATTTAGGGTTTTAGGTTGAAATTATTAACTGAATAAAGAAAAAGATATGACATAATACTAGGATACAAAAGAAAAACTTAAGATTTTTATTTGGATACAAATACAATGGGAAAGGAAAATGTGATGGCTGCCAGGAAAGCTAATGTGACTTTAATTATATGAATAAGAGAGCAGCATCAAGATAAAGGAAGGTAATGGGGCTCTGTAGGCCATACTTGCCAGACCATATCTAGAATACTCTGCTGTTAGTGTAGGAGGATTGTGAACAATGCTGGGTGCATTTTGATAAGGGAGATGCAATGGTAAGACGTCTGGAAAGTATCATGAGAATTTATTTAAGAAACTAGCGGAATCTGGTCTGGAAGAGGAAAAACCAGCGAGAGGTGGTAATCTAAGAAGCACGTTAAAAGCCTTTCTGATTTGAATAGCTGGCACATAGAACAGGTGTTAGTCCCAGAGTACAGAATTAATGCATTGATTTTAAGATAACATTTTTAATTATTAAAAAACAATACTGTTTATCTTGTGAAATAGTGATATTCCTGGCACTGCAAAGTATTCGAATAACAGGTGATTATTTGTAAGAAATTTCTAGATGGGACTTCTGCACTGAACTGGGAGGGTGAAGCAGAGTCCCTCACAAAAGGAAGATGTTGTGATTTCAATCTCAGAGTTATGGCTGGCGTTATTAAAATATACTTAATTAGAAGGTGTGTTGTAAATTACATTGGAAATGTGCTCCTGCTCCCTTCCTGCTCCCCAAAACTTAAAATATATAAAGTAAAAATCATGATACAATTCTCCCATCACCTATATAGACCATTACATCTTCAATACTTTGTGAGTATTCAAAGAGAATTATTACAATGGAAATGTTCTCAGAGAAAGCAACAACATATGTGAATTTACTACTTGTTAACGGAAAGACATGGAGGAGATGGGTGGTAAGAATAATTAAGGTCCAAGTGGGCACAAATCTGTAGCAGGCAAAATGTAGGAAACAGGTCAACAAGGTTTCTTCGTGTTTCTCCTGGAGACCAAATAGATGACTGAGGATCCAACTATAATTTCTATAAAGACTTGGTTCAGTTTTCCAACGTCTGTATCATCACAACTTACAACGAGTACAGCTTCCAAAAGAGGTGACTAATGTAAAAACTTTCAGTATTTATTTATTAAAGTAGAAAATTTTCGTGTTAACAAGTACCTATAGACGTTTAAGCAGATAACTAAATTTCAAAAAGACCGAATTTGTGTCAAGATTTTCAAAACCGAACCAGGCTTTCAAATATAGTGTAATTCTGTGTCAGTATATATAAACTAACATTTGGGGGTCTTACTGACTTATAGGGGTCACACTAATACCCTATACTACATAAATATAATACATATATTACTATGTATGCTTTCATAATATTCACTACTTGTTAAAGTTAATATATTAATATATTTTAGATAGATCCTTATAGCTTGCCCCAAGATTTTTCTCCTAAATATCATCATGGAAAACTCTATACATTTCCATTTGTTGACAACGATGAAATAATTTTTTAATTAAAATTTAAAATGTTTATGGGTATATAGTAGGCATATATATTTATGGGGTGCCTGAGATATTTTGATACAGGCATACAAAATGTAATAATCACATCAGGGTAAATAGAGGATCCATCATCTCAAGTATTTATCCTTTATTTTGTGTTACAAACATTCCTATTCCACTTTTAGTTGTTTTAAAATGTAGAATAAATTACTGTTGACTGTAGTCACCTTGTTGTGCTATCAAATATTAGGTCTTATTCATTCTGTCAAACTATGCTTTTGCAGCCATTAAGCCTTCCATTTCCTTCTCACTAGCCCACTACACTTCTCAGCCTCTGGTAACCATCCTTCTACTCTCTTATCTCCATGAGATCAACTGTTTTAATTTTTAGCTTCCATAAATGAGTGAAAATATGCAAAGTTAGTCTTTCTATGCCTGGTTTATTTCACTAAACAGAACGACCTCCAGTTCCATCCATGTTGTTGCAAATAACACGATCTCATTCCTTTTATGGCTGAATAGTATTCCGTTGTGTATATGTACCATATTTTCTTTATTCATTTGTGTATTGATGGACACTTAGGCTGATTCCAAATCTTGGCTAGACTGAACAGTGCTACAATAAAAGGGGAGGGCAAATATCTGCTCCATATACTGATTACTTTTGGGTATATACCTAGCAGAGGCATTGCTGGATCACATGATAGTTATATTTTTAGTTTTTCTGAGTAATCTCCATACTGTTCTCCATATTGGCTGTACTAACTGACGACCCCACCAACAGTGTATGCGGGTTCTACTTTCTCCACATCCTCACCAGGATCATTATTGTCTGTCTTTTGGAAAAAAGTTATTGTAACTGGGGTGAGAAGATTTATCACTGTAGGTTTCATTTGCATTTCTTTCGAGATCAGTAATGCTGAGCACCTTTCCATACACCTGTTTGCAATTTGTATGTCTTCTTTTGAGAGATGTATATTCAGATCTGCCCATTTTAAAATAAGATTATTAAATGTTTTCCTATAGTTTGAGCTCCTTATATATTTCTGGTTATTAATCCTTTGCCAGATGGATAGTTTGCAAATATTTTTTTCCCATAATGTGGATTGTCTCTTCCCTTTGTTTCCTTTTTGTGCAGAAACTTTTTAACTTGCTATCATCTCATTTGTACATTTTTGCTTTGATTGCTTATGCTTAGTTTAGGCATAAACTGTGTCTAAGATTTCAGCCTTTAATCCATTTTGATTTTTTTTTTTTTTTTTTGTATATGATGAGAGACAGGGGTCTAGCTTCATTCTTCTGCACATGGATATCCAATTTTCCCAGCACCATCTATTGAAGAAACTGCCCTTTTCCCATTGTATGTTCTTGGCACCTTTGTTGAAAATAAGTTCACTATAGATACATGGATTTATTTCTGGGTTTTATATTCTGTTCTACTGGTATTTGTGTCTGTTTTTATGGCATTACCATACTGCTTTGGTCACTATAGCTCTGTAGTATAATTTGAAGTCAGGTAATGTGATCGCTCCAGTTCTTTTCTTTTTGTGCAACGTATCTTTTGCTATTCTGGGTCTTTTATGTTCAAGTAAAATTCAGGATTGTTTTTCCATTTATTTGATGAATATCATTGGTATTTTGATAGGGATTTGTAATTTCTTTCTTCACCTAGCCATGGATTGGTATGGTCATTGGTATATGGCCATTCAGGAGCATATTGTTTTATGTGCATAATTTCTACAATTCTTCTTGTTATTCATTTCTGGTTTTATTCCATTTTGGTCAGAGAAGATGCCTGATATTATTTCAATTTTTTTTGAATATTTTAGGACTTGCTTTGTGGCCTAACATACGGTCTATTCTTAAGAATATTCCATGAGCTGAGGACAACATGCCTTTTACAGTCATTGGATGAAATGTATCAGGTCCATTTGGTCTATAGTGCAGATTACATCTCATGTTTCTTTGTTGAGTTTCTGCTGAAAGATTTGTCCAAAGGTGAAAGTAGGGTATTGAAGTCTCCAGTTATTATTGTATTGGGGTCTATCTCTCTCTTTAGCTCTAATAATATTTGCTTTATATATATGGATGCTCCAGTGTGTGGTGCATATATAATTGTTATATTCTCTTGTTGAATTGACCCTTTGTCATTATATAATGACCGTATTTGTCTCTTTTTATAGGTTTTGTCTCAAAATCTATATAATTTGATGACAATGCAGCTACTCCTGCTGTTTTATCCTTCTCATTTGCACAGAATGTCTTTTTCCATCCCTTTATTTGTTAGTCTATGAGTGTTTTTATGGGTGAAGTATGTTTATTGTAGGCAGCAGATATTTAGGTCTTGTATTTTTATCCATTAAGCTACTCTATGTTTTTGGTTGGAGAGTTCAGTCCATTTACATTTAATGTTATTACTGATAAGGACTTATTGCTGCCATTTTGTTATTTGTTTTCTGTTTATTTTTATTTTTTATTTTTTTTGGTCTTCCTTCTTATCTTCCTTGTTGTGAAACTGATTGCTGATATGTTTTAATTTCTTGCTTTTTACTTTATTTTTTTGTCTATCTGTGTGGAAGGCTTTTTGATTTGTGATTCTCATGAGGCTTGCAAGTAACATCATATAACCCACTATTTTAAACTGATGACAACTTAATTCTGATTGCAAAAACAAACAAAGAGAAAAACCGATACAAACTCTACCCTTTAACTTTCCCCACCAGTATTTTAACTTGTTGTTTGTATTTATATCTTATTATAATGTCTATGTCTTAAAAAGCTGTTGTAGTTAGTTCATGCAACACAATTGAAGCCTTGTCATATTCCATATTTGTCTGTGTACTTATTTGTCTGTGTACCAGTGAGTTTTGTACCTTAAGGTGATTTCTTATTGCTCATTAACATTATTTTCTTTAAGACTGAAGTACTCCTTTCAGCATTTCTTGTAGGTCAGTTTTAGCGTTAACAAAATCTCTCAGCTTTTGTTTGTCTGGGCAAGTCTTAATTTCTTCTTCATATTTGGAGGATATTTTTGCTGGATATAACATTCTAGGATAAAAGTTTTTTTTTCCTTCAGCACGTTAAGTATGCCATGCCACTCTCTCCTGGCCTGTAAAGTTTCCACTGATAAGTATGCTGCTAGATGTATTGGAGCTTCTTTATATGTTATTTGTTTATTTTCTCTTGCTGCTTTTAGGATCCCTTCCTCATCCTTGACCTTTGGGAAATTGATTTTTAAATGTCTTGAGGTAGTATTATTTGGGTAAAATCTGCATTGTGTTCTATAACCTTCTTGTCCTTGAGTATTGACATCTTTCTCTAGGCTTGGAAAGTTCTCCATTACTATCTCTTTGAATAAACTTCTAACTGAATCTCTCTCTCTCTCTCTCTCTCTCTCTTTCTCTCCATCTGCTTTAAAGCCAATCATTTTAGATTTGCTTTTTTGAGGCTATTTTCTAGATCCTGTAGGCATGCTTCATTCTTTTTTGTTTTTTGTCTTTTCTATGCATTTTCAAATACCTTGTCTTCAAGCTCCCTAATTATTCTGCTTGATCAATTCTGCTGTTGAGAAACTCGGATGCATTCTTCAGTTTGTCAACAGAATTTTTCAGCCCCAGAATTTCTGCTTGATTTTTTTAAAAAGTATTTCAATCTCTTTGTTAAATTTATCTGATAGAATTCTGAATTCCTTCTCTGTTAAATTGCATTTCATCAAGATGCCTCACAAAACTGCTATTTCTTTTTTCTTTCTTTTTTTTTTTTTGTCAGAAAGGTCACCTATCTCTGTCACTCCAGGATTGGTTACTGGTGATTTATTTACTTTGTTTATTGAGGTCATGATTTTCTGGAAGGTAGTGATGCTTGTGGATGCTTGCCAGTGTCTGGGCATTGAATAATTAGGTATTTATTGTAGCCTTCACAGCTCAGGCTTGTTTATATTGGCCATTGGGAAGGTTTTCTAAGTATTTGAAGACTTGGGTGTTGTGATCTAAGTCTTCAGTCATTGCAGTGGTATCTATATTAAGGGGCTCCACTCTTGTTGACTCATAGAGGTACTACCTTGATGGTCTTAGTTAAGATCTGAGATAATTCACCGGATTATCAGGCAGAATCTCTTGTTCTCTTCCCTTACTTTCTCCCAAACAAAGGTCGTTTCTCACTCCATCCTGGAGCTGCCTGGAATTGGAGGAAGGGGTGAAGCAAGCAAGTTCATTGTCAACACCACTGGGACTGTGCTGGGTCCCACTTGAAGCCAGCATAGTACTAGGCCTCACCCGAAGTCTCCAGTGACTACTGCCTGGGTACCAGTGATGTTTATTCAAAGGCCAAGGGTTCTTTAGTCAGCAAGTGGTGGGAGAGAGCATCCTGCCAGGCCTGGGTCTTTCCCTTTAGGGCAGTGTGTTCTCATCTGGCCCACAGTAGGTCTAGGAATGCCATGCTGGAGCTATGGCCTGGCAATAGGAACTTTAGAAACCTACTTCATGCCATATTTTACTGTGGCTGAGGTGGCACCCACATTGCAAGCAATGTCCTTTTCACTCTTCTCTTTCATTTTCTCAAGCAGAAGGCGGCTCTCTCTCCATGGCCACCATCATCCCAAGGCCATGGCAACCACAGCCTGGCTACTGCTGATGTTTATTCAAAGTCCAAGGGCTCCTTAGTCAGCAGTTGGTGAATTGTGTCAGACCTAGGTCTCTCCTTTCAGGGCACTGGGTTCCCTTCTGGCTCAGGGAAGGTTGAGAAATGCCATCTAGGAGTTAAGGCCTAAAACTGGACGCTTTAGGAGTCTGCTTGGTGCTTTATTTTACTGTGGCAGAAGAGCTGATCCCCAAGTTGCAAGATATAGTCCTTTTCACTCTTCCCTCTCCTTTCCTCAGGCAGAAGGAGTCTCTTCTCATGGCCAGCATGCATATCTGGGAATGTGCTGGGTTACAACTGAAGCCAACACGGTTCTGGGTCTCATCAAAGGCCTGTGGCAATTGCTACTTGGCTACTTTACCTTGGTCATTAGGTAAAGAATTCTGCCAGGGCTGTGTCCTTCCCTTCAGGGAAGCAAGTTCCCTTAAAAGGCATAGGGTGAGTCTAGAAATGTCCTCTGAGAGCTGGGGCCTGAAATAGGGGCTTTAGGTCTCTGCTTGCTGTTTTATTTTACTGTGGCTGAGCTGGTATCCAAGTTATAAGAAAAAGCCTCTTCACTCTTCCCTCTCCTTTCTTGTGTACCCCATGTCCACTGGCTCTAAGTCCAGTACGACACCAGGACTTGCTCAGGAACTGCAGTCCTTGTGGCCTAGACTTTCGAATTTATCTGGAACCCCAGGGTACTTTAGCATGCAGTGCTGGGTCTAGCTGGAACTTAGGTTCCGAATGCTGGCACAGGCAATACCCCTCTGGCGAGGGCTGGGCTAAAGGCTCTCTTTGGGGGTGCTCTCTGAATGCTGCCCATGTTGCCTTCTGCTGTGACAGGGCAGCAATGAGTTCCAATGCAAAGTCCCACAATCACTGTGCTTTCCCTCCCCCAAGCAAACAGATTCTCTCTTTCCACGTCCCACGTGGTGCTGCCAAGGCATGGGAGAGGGTTGGTATAGAGAATTCAAGACTGTCCTTCTTACCCTCTTCCGTGCCTCTTTGCTTGAAATAATGTTAAAATGAGGTGCTGTGATTGCTAACCTGATTTCTGGTTCTTATGAAGGTACTTTCTTGTGTGGATAGTTGTTCAATTTGGTGTTCCTGAAGGGAGGACAACCATTGGAGAGTTCTATTCAACCATCCTGCTCAAATTTATATTTTCTATTCCCCCAGCTGGTTACCTCTCCCGGCTCTGCTATCCTCAGGAATAATTCCACCAGCATTCTTTCTATTGTTCAAAGTGAAACCTTACATTTTCCCTTCTTTACTCCATGTCCAAACAGATCCTGAGTTCCTTCACTACAAGGGCTTCAAAAACTTTTTCTATTCTATTGCCATTATTTTAGTTCATGCCCTAATTATCTTTTAGGTGTACTGCAATTTCTCATAATTAGTATCTGTACTTCCAATCTCTT